ATGAAGACACGTATCTACATAAAAATGTGAGCATAAATGCTCACAGCACTAATAATAGTAAAAAAAAATGTGAACACACATTGAACTATCCCCAGCCCATGAGTGGAGGGACACACACATTTGGCCACAAGAAAGGAAGCACTTGTATGTGCTGCAGCAGGAAGAACCTTGACACCATAGTCAAAGAAGCCACTCACTGTAAGTCACACATTATATCATCTGTTCATCTGAAGTGTGCAGAGTAGCAAAATTGAAAGACAGAAAGGAGATTACTAAAACCACTCAGGAATATTTATTTTAGTGCTTATATATTTTCTTACATGTTCTTCCAGACTCTCCATACTCCCTCTCTCTTCTTTCTCCTCCTTTTTTTTCAGTGCTGGGATCAAACCCAGGGTCTTGTCCATGTGAGGTAAGCACTCCACCACTGAGCTACTTCCCCGCTGTTCCTCCCCTTTCAAGAGCTTGCTGGAAATTTAAACTCCTGTAAACATCAGGATTGTGTATTGACAGCGTCACTGTGACTTCCTTCTGTGCAGACCCAGGAAGTCTGTGCTCATGTATGCCAACATCAAGCAGTACTTCTTAGCACATTAAATAACTGTATTGCTTGTGTTTATTCTTAGGTTAAAGGCGATTCAATTAGTGATTATTTTTAAAAGTTAGGCATTTAGAGTGAATTCTGAATTATATATAAGCTATCTTCTAGGAGAGAGAATGTGCTCTTGACCGTGTTTGAACATTGACTAAGAATTTGGCATCTGAGTGTGTGCTATTGTATGCTATTTGTATGACTCTGCCCCCTTTCAGACTTAACATTCTCATGTGTAAATTCTGGCTGTGCTGGATAGTTTTATGTGAACTTGATACAAGCTAAAGTCATATGAGAGGAGAGAGACTCAATTAAGAAAATGTCTCTTTAAGATCAGGCTACAGGCAAGCCTGTAGGTAGGGCATTTTCTTAATTAGTGATTGATAGGGGAGGGCCCAGCCCATTGTAGGTGGTGCCACCCCTGGGCTGGAGGTCCTGGGTTCTATAGAAATCAGTCTGAGCAAGCCATGTGAGCAAGCCAGTAAGCAGCACCCCTCCATGGCCTCTGCATCAGCTCCTGCCTCCAGGTTCCTGCCCTATGTGAGTTCCAGTCCTCACTATTTTCGATGATGGACTGTTATATGGAACTGTGAGTGAAACAAACCCTTTCCTCCCCAAGTTGCTTTTGTCATGGTGTTTATTACAGCAACAGTAACCCTAACTAAGACATTGGCTAGTAGGAGCTCCTGGCTAATGTTTGTTAGAGAAAAAAGTAACTCGCTTAGACATATCTTCTGAGTATGTGAATGTCCTCTTAATGTCCGTTGTTTTATCTCTTTGTTGTGTACTGATGGAACTAACTAGTCTTAATGGAACTAACATTACTTTTTATTTTTTCACAAAACTGGAAGTTTAATAATGAGAGCGTGAAGTTACATTTTAGGAAGTACTTACAGTGTTTGACCACTGCTTTCAGAAACTTTGATGATGTATTCATAAGGCAGTGGGCAGAGACCCCAGTTTTCATGTTGCCTCTCTAAATACTGGACAGGTGGCAACCTTTTTGCTTTTGCGATAGTGTTTGCCCACTTGAGATAAATTACCTCTTCTAGATATCCAAATGGTATGCCTGCAAGAGATCATTTACCTCAAACAGGGGAGGATGCTACTTTCATTGAAGGGCTGAAATATCAATCATTATGGGAATAGAATGTAGGTAGCTGAACGTTTTGGTATGACTGGTCTAAAATAAAAATTTAAAGATAGAAACAAATGTATTTGATTTGATTTCTGAATATATCTCTGAATATATCCAACGGCAAATGAACACCAGTAGAATGTCAGTCTATTTTATTACACATCTTCTCTATAATTTAAATTTAGTTGTCATGAAGATAGATGACTCAAACACACCCTTGCTAGTAAGCTGCTACTCAACTTACTTCCTATTGCATACTGCAAAGTAAACTTTGTAGAAGTCATAGCTAAAAAGGGCCTAACTCAGAAGTCTAATTATGTTCATATCAAGACCCATGTTTCATATTTGGAAGGTTAAAACACTGAGAAATTGTATTTCTGTTAATAAGAAGTTATTGCTGTATATTAAGAAACTAAGACTTTAGCCAGGCCTGGTTGTACATGCCTATGGTACCAGCAGCTGTGAAACAAAAGCAAGAGGATGATTCCAGGGCAAGCCTGGCCTACACAGTGAGTTCTAGTTCAGCCTGGGCTACGTTGTGAGACCTTATTTAAGAGAAAATGTTAAGTTAGCAATGTTACTGGTGTTATTAACATTACTCATTGTTGATGCTTTTGTGTACTTTATTGTTAATTCACTCTTACTTTCTTACTTTTGCTTAAAGGTTTCGCACGCTTTCTGAGCAGAAAAGCTCCATTTTAATTAGAAAACACACTGTAGACTTCTACTTTTTATACAGTGCTTGTATTTTTGGTAGCAATAGATTTCTGTAATGCTTTCTAAAGACTTCTAGTTTTAGAAGCATCACGGACATGTCATTCATGTCTGTATTTTGTCATGACAAATAAAGGTCAAGCTGCTGTGCTTGCTGCAGCTGAAGGACAGGACTCCTGCAGGATCCCCTGTCCCCTCCGGGAGTCCTGCAACCTTCAGGGTTAGAATTGCTAGGCCAATTGGCTGTTTAGGAATTTGTTTTGAAGATTTGTTTGTGGATGTGAAAGTGTGCCTGTTCTGTTGGGGAAAGTAATTGTGTAACCTGTGATCTGCTTCTTATAAAGGTCACATTCTCTAAGTTGGGAAAATGACTAGCAAATTCTTTTAACATAAAGAAAAATTGTTTTTAACAGGTATAAATTTTAAAATAGTTGGGACAAGTAAATAGGAGGCTTTCTAGTGACTTTTGTTTTCTGTCATGCAAATAAATATGTAATTCTGACACTACAGTATCTTTTCCTTTTTTATTAAAAAATTTTATTTCGTATGATAAAATGTGGGCTCTATTATAAAAATGCTTCTTAAAACATCAATTATTTAGTGCTCTGACTGTAGTTCATGATGGTCAGCACTCAGGGACTTGGAATGTGTCCTTTCCTAACTTCTTAAAAATTCAGAAGAATGCCTTGTGGAATTATATTGTCATCTAATTTTCTCTTTCCTAGGGGTTGGTGTCTACCAAACACATTTCAGTGATACAGTAAAAACAAACCAACCAACTACTATGTATTATCATTTAATTGTAGTTGAATTTTTATTTTAAAGTTCTTTTTATTGAAAGTACCATTACTTTTGTATTACTTAAAAATTTAAGATCAGATTTTATATTTGCTTAAAAAGTATTTTTTGATATAACATGAAAATTAATATTATTTTTCTTGGTATTTTTGGATGCATTGTTGAATTCAGTATTGTTGCAGCTGCTATGGAAGTAAAATGGAATGTGATTAAGCCAACAAATCTATAAAAATATCCATCTATGCTGGCCTGGCATAGTGAAGATGGGGCAGTTGGAAAGGAAAGGGGACAATTAAAAATACAGTGCAACTGCAGACACAGAGAATATGTGTATTTGATGACGAAATGATGTGCTATATTGAATATTAGGAGAAAATTAAATTTCCCTGTTTATTCATTGTGCAGTGAATTATTTAATATATTTTGTTTTTAGTTATTTAACTTAACTGTTCTACTTTATGTGTTGAATGCCATCTAATTGTGCTAGTAAATTTTTTGTCATTCATTACTTACTAAATGACTCATTATTAACAAAAGAATTATGTATTCTAATTAAAATTTGTATGACTTTGTCCATGACATTCTTTGAGAATATGTTCATAATAAGTATCATATAGAATGAAAGTACATTAAATTGTATTCTCAAAAGTCAATGCACTAACAGTTAATAGAATAAAATTTACTTGCGCAATAATATACACAATAATTTATGTATGCTCTGAAGCAGTGTGATTTTCAAATTTTGACTGTTACGAGGCATATAAAGTTTGTCCTTCCATTTATACACTGAGGAATAGAAGAAATAGAATACAGTTCAAGTTTTAGAGTACAGAGTATCCATAAGGTAGAATGCAGAGTTTTGGCGAGGCAGTTCTTAATGCTGTAGGAAACCTTGATTGCCCTTGGTCATTGTTGTTCTTTCGTTTTGAACTGTATATAATCCCACAATTAACACAATACAATCTGATTTGGTAACATTGCCCTTCTGATAGAAAGGCAAAATTTAAATTAACTCCAGTAGTAGAGACTCTTGAAACGTAGAATGTACATGACTAGATTTGGATTTGAAGACTCTCTCAGTGCTGGTCATTTCACATGAATGGCATCATAAGATAAGTAAGGACAGATTAAGACCTGGTTAGAATAGGGAAAATGAAATTACATAACCTTTATGAAGGCATAAATAAGCCTATTAACCATATCTGGAATATCAGTTAGTAGGAAGAGTAGTGACGGTTTTGTTTATCAACATTTAGCAGAGTTATTAGTTACAGATCTAATGATCTGGTGGTAATCAGGTTGTGTAGCATATACAAGGACCCTCAAGTCCATTAGACACAGGATGATTACTGAAATCCCACGGGGAAATAAGTAATTATAGTTTTAGAATTTTAACTCTTCTGAACAAAGAAAATTGTGTTTTCTTGTCTGAGAATTTAAGTATTATGGTCCCATTTGATAAGCAGCCATAATTATGACTAGAAACCAAATTTATATGCAGTTTTAGAGAAGGAAAGGGAAGGTGACTTTCTGAGTGATGTTCCATGTGAAGGTCAGACTGTAAATTGAGGAAGTTTTCTGCAGAAGTACTGTTCAATAGTGAGCCAAGCTTGTGTTCAGCTTTTTATAGGAAAGCTTGATGGGGACGGGACTGTAAAGGCATGAGGACTATATAACTGAAAAATTCTATTGCGATCAGTAACATTATAAAATTAACATGAGGCAACTCATATCTTGTGCTTTTTTTTCCCTTTGAAGATCCAAATTCCAGAATTTGTGGACATTTACTCATAGGTGCAGCCAAGAGTTCTTTTGCAAAACTAATGGATAAAATTAGTTTGGCAATGGAAAGCATACCTCTGCGTAGCAGCCGGAGCATAACATATGTAGAAAAAGATTCCCTGGTTCAGAGGCTGGCCCGTGGACTTCACAAAGTGAACACACTGGCCCTGAAGTGTGGTTTGCGCAGCCATGTGCCCATTATGGTATGTGCTATTTCATTTAGTAGTGACTTTAGGATTTGTGGATTAGAATGTGTCTCAGACTTATTTATAGTTTAAATCAATTGTATATGAATCATTTAGTTTCACATAAACTTTTAATAAAATAATTAAAGCTCCTTGAGTAAGTTTACTTGGTTTAGAAATAGCTAGTATTATTTTTTGTGTAATGTTTGAGTTAAATTTAATTTAGTAAAGTGCTCATTGCTGTTGATTTATTAGTAAATCTGTAGCTGATGTTTGGAAATGCACTCTCATTTAACAACAGAAAAGTACTGCATCATTACAAAAGCAGATATTTGGATTTACCCAAAGGCTGCACGCAGCTGAGGTAGAGCGCCGCTCACTGCGCCTCGAGGTCACAGAGTACAGACGGTCCCTGAATGAAATGAAGAAGGAGCTGGACAAGTCACAGAACCTGCAGATGCAATTAAATGAGTTCAAGCACTCTGTAAGTAGATCTGGCTTAGTAAGCTATGGTTTGGATGCCTCTTTCTATGTCTTTTCCTTAACGGTGACTGGTCAATAGAAATCATTCAGAGTCCCTTCAATAGGGTTGTTTTGTTTTGAAATTTTCTGGTATTTATTTTTTCCAATTTTATTTTGTATTGAAAAATTTTTTTCATACAATATATGCTGTTTAGTTTTCCTCCCCCCAGCTCCTCTTAGATCCTTCCTATCTCCCCTTCCACCCAGTTCTACCCCCTTCTTTCTCTCTTTCATTAGAAAACAGGCCATCTAAAAATTTACAATAAAAACAAACAAACCAGGATAGGACCAAACAAACAAACATGCAGAAAAGTACCAGCCAAAGAAAAAGGACAAGAAACACATATAGACACAGAGAGACACATGTTTGCACACCCAGGAATCCTATACAAACACAACACCAGAAACTATAATATACATGCAAAGGACCTGTAAGGTTAAAAACAACAACAACAACAACAACAACAAAACCTCTAAAAATGCCATTGAGTTTGTTTTGTTTTGGCCATTTGCTGCCCTTAAGAGTGGATTATATACCCTGTATTTTTTCTTTTTATATATGTATGTATGTATTATTACTGTGTGTGTATATGGATGTGTGTGTAGTGTGTATGTGTGTGTGTGTGTGTGTGTGTGTGTGTGTGTGTGTGTGTGTGTGTGTGCGCGCGTGCTCACGTTTGTACCCCAGCATGAGTGTGGAAGTTAGAAGAAAACTTTTAGAAGTTGGTTCCCTCTTCCACCATGGGTTCTGGGAAGCAGCCTCACACCATCAGGCTTACATGGCAACAGCTACTTTTACCTGCCAACCTGTCTTGTTTTTCCCAGATTGCCATTTTAAAGTATATATTTTTATTCTAATTAAAACTTCTTTTGATACAGGCATGTGATTAACAAACCTAACAGCCCTAAAAGGTGCATGATGAAATGTGGCAGTTAAGTAGACTTGCTTTTGCCTCAGAAAACATCTCTCTTAAAATGCCTTCTACTGAGAAGCCTGCTGTTTGTGGAGGAGACAAAAATCTTCTCTCTTATATTTTGAATAATTTTTATTATTTTACTTTACACACTATTATAATTTGAATACTAGTATAGTGATATTTAGTATTATATATGCTCATGCTATAAATTTATTCTTAAATTTTATTCAAGCAAAGTTTTCTCTTTCTGTGAGTTGTTTAATTTCTGGACCCTGGAGAAACTATTTTTGTGTTATTTGTCAGGAAATTGAGATATTAAAGAGCTTCATTAAAATGGCAATAGTTTATGTTTTCTAGATAATTCAGTGAAGTAGACTTTATTCTACCATTCCTAGATTTTTTTAAAGAATTCAAATCAGGTTGTGTTATGTTTGTGGTGAGTTACATGAGTCTACTTCAAATCCTCTTTCACAGTGGAGAGCTCTGACTCTTAAGTAACTACATGTAGAGCTAGACTGATGAAGAGATCTGTGTGTCTCCCAGTCTCCACATGTCCTTCATGGAATGAACCCTTTGTGAATCATTTTTCTCTTTGCACTTCAGGATGACAATGTCAGGTGTCTTGTAACTGTGTCTTACTCACTCAAATGCCTTGAAGAGGGGATAGTCACATGGTCTGGCCTAGATCCCACGCGCCTTTAAGGCATGGTGGCCTGTGTAGAGCTCTTGTTAGTTTTCCAGAGCAGTGTCCTGTCCTCTGAGTAGTCACAGTATTGGAAGTCATGTTTTATATCACAGTGTAGTTTCATTAGCGGGTGTTCTCATAGGAATATCTTGAATTCTTCTCTGTGTTGGGTGAGAAAGCTAACCAAGTCCTCAGTTCAGTGCTGCTTTCTCCTCGAAATGTGTGTGTAGGTAAGAAAACAAGTAATGCAAATTTTGGTACTACGATGGCTGTGGGAAAATAAAACAAGACAGCATGAGAGTGTGAGCCTGGGTAGGAATTGCTAGAGAGAGGACACAGGGCCAGAGAGAGCCGAGTAACGGCACAGTGACCACAGAGTCAGGCAATCATTTCAGTCCTTAAGGTTGTTGGAATATTTTTCCAGAATCATAATCTTTACAAAAGGTTTTTTATTTGGAAGCCAGGCGTGGTAACACACGCCTTTAATCTCAGTACTACGGAGGCAGAGGCAGGCAGGTCTCTGTGAGTTCAAGGCCAGCCTGGTCTACAGAGCAAGTTCTAGGACAGCCAGGGCTACACAGGGAGACCCTGGCCTGAAAAACCAAACCAAACCAAACCAAACCAAACCAAACCAAACCAAACCAAAAACAAAACTTTATTTGGAATTTCAAATGTTTTCTAGGATTTTGTTTGACAAAAAAATAACTTTGAAAGTATGATTATTTTACTTTAAAAACAAAAGTAATAGTTTATTTTGACTTTTATTTTGAGTAAAACGAATTTTATGTTTTGTTTTATAATAAATTCTTAGAAATGGTTGCCATTATATTATTTTGCAAATTTCTATTTATGTATAGGTATCTGTGTGAGTGTATGACATGTGTGTCCAGGTATCTGTGGAGGCCAAGAGAGGGCATCAGGTTCCCTAGAGCCGGAGTCCTAGGTGGTTGTGAGCCATTCCCCTTGTGGGTGCTTGGACCTGAACTCTGATCTAGAGCAGTCGATGCTCTTAAGCACAGAGCCATCTCTCCAGCCCCTTGCTGTGATCTTTATGTTACCAAATACAGCTCTGATGAATAAATAGCACGGCAATACAATTGGCTTGCAGCCGATTTGTTTCTCTTCTTCTTAAAGAAACTGATCACCCACGAGAAGTTTGAAAGTGCATGTGAAGAACTAAATAATGCGTTACTTCGGGAACAGCAGGCACAAATGCTGTTGAACGAACAGGCCCAGCAACTACAGGAGCTGAATTACAGACTTGAGTTGCACTCCAGCGAGGAAGCTGACAAAAACCAGACTCTCGGAGAAGCTGTTAAGGTAAAGCATCTTTTGTATAATGAGTTATTTGTTGCTTGTGTGGATCCTGGTGTGCTTGTGTATGTCATGCATAGCTCCTGAACAGAGCATAGGGCCAAAGGTGTGAAGTCTTTCTCTGTAAATGGTTTGTAAGGATGGTGTGAGGTGTCATTCTGTCCTCACTTACAAGCCTTCATGGATACATCTAGAAAATGTAAAAGTGGGTTTTACTGACAGGTTGAAAACAAAGCATGTATTTTATTTTATTTTTATTTTTTAAGTAATTTATTTTTATTTTATGTGCATTGGTGTTTTGCCTACATGTATGTCTGTGTGAGGGTATCAGATCCTGGAGTTATTGACCATTGTTAGCTGTCATGTGGGTGCTGGGAATTGAACCTGGGTCCTCTGGAAGAGCAGTCAGTGCTCTTAACTGCTGAGCCATCTCTCTAGCCTCCAAAGTAGGTATTTTAACAGTAATAATTTTCTAAAATGTATTTTTTATTGAAAATAATTTTTTCATATAATATATTCTGATCATTGTTTTCCTTCTGCCAACTCCTCCCCAATCCTTCCCATCTACCTACCAACCAACTCCACACCCTCTCTCTCTCTCTCTCTCTCTCTCTCTCTCTCTCTCTCTCTCTCTCTCTAATTAGGGCTTTGTCTCCACCATTATTTGGTGACATCATTTAGGTTTCTTTCATATATGTGTATAATTTGAGAAGTTTATACAGTAGTGGGTTTTCATATGACCCTCAAATGGCTCTCAGTGTTAGTTGGCCTTCCCCATATTCCATCTCTTACCCTTCTCTCCCTCTCCCCATTTAATCCTCCCTCTCCTGTCTCCCCACTCTCTCCATAACTGCATATTCTATTTCTCCTTCCCTGGGAGGTCCCCCTAGTCCTTTATTCTATACCTAACCTCCATGGTCATATGGATTGTAGCATGCCTATCAAAAGCTTAAGAGCTAACATCTACATATAAGAGAATACATAAAATACTTGTCTTTTGGGGATCTAGGTTACCTCACTCAGGATGATTTTTTCCTTTGATTTGGGATTCTTTTCTTTCATCTATTCCCATTTTCTTAGATTTGGTCTTTTCATAATGGCCCAGATTTCATGGATATTTTGTGCCTGGATTTTTTTAGATTTAACATTTTCTTTGACTAAGGTATTCATTCCTTCTACCTGGTCTTCAATCCTGAGATTCTCCCATGTTTTGTAATCTGTTGGTGAGGCTTACCTCTGAGGTTTTTGTTTGACTTTCTAAGTTTTTCATTTCCAGTTTTATTTTTGTTTGGGTTTCTTTTTTTTAATGTCTTTTTTTTCATTTTTCTTTATTAAGAAATTTCTACTCATTCTACATACCACCCACAGATCCCAGCCCTCCCTCCCAAGCCACCCCACATCCCCACACCCCCCAAATCAAGGTCTCCCATGGGGAGTCAGCAGGGCCTGGCACACTGAGCCTAGGCAGGTCCAAGCCCCTTCCCACTGCACCAAGGCTTTACAAGGCATCACACCACAGGCGCCAGGCTCTTGTTTGGTTTTTTTAGCGACTCTATTTCTTTGTTACATTCTTCTTTCATGTCATGAATTGTTTTCACTATTTTATTCTACTGTTTGTGTTTTCACACACTTTATCAAGGGATTTATTCTATCTTCTTCAAGGTCCTTTTCTTTCCCACCCACCAGTTCCCAAATAACTGACACAGGCCTGGACTTAATATTAATTATAAATACTTGACTGATAGCTTAGGCTTGTTACTAACTAGCTCTTACAATCTAAATTAACCCATATTTCTTATCTAAGTTCTACCACGTGGTGAATGACTTGTTACCTCATTTTGTACACATCCTGTTACCTCTGCTTCTGACTGGCGACTCCCGAGACTCCACCCTTTTTCTTTCCAGTGCCCTCCTAGTCTGGCTCTCCCTCCCAGTCTCTTCCTTCCCAGCTATAGGCCAGTCATCTTTGTTAACCAATGAGAGTAATACATATTTACAGTGTACAAAGATTGTTCCACAGCAGTCTTTGAACATATTCATGATTGTTTTGAAGTCCTTGTTTTGTGCTTCAGCTGTTATTACACTTCTCAGGACCTACTGTATTAGTTGGGCTACTGGCTTATGGTGGAGGCATATTGTCTTGGCTGTTAATTTTTGTGTATTTTGAGCTGGTGTCTAGTCATCTGGAGTTAGGATGACTGAGGTGATTCTAGGAGTTGATGTCTGGTCTTGTCTTTGGTGAGTGGGCATTCTGCTCCTTAGTTTCTGTTGCTCTCTCTGGATCTTAGGAAAATGTGGTAGCTCTGAGTTGCCTGGTAGAGAATGCTTCTTCAGGTTGGTGAATGGCAGAGAGGGATAGAGATGGACTAGGAGGAAAGACTGAGAGGGGCTTCAGGAAAGCACTTCGGGGATCCTGTCCACACCAAGAGCTGGAGTCCCCAGGGAATTGGAGATGGGATAGGAGGAGAGGCTCCTATAAGTACATTGCAGTGTAACTAAGAATCATCTGGTGCTATAGGGATGAAAGGGCCAAGGGGACTCTAGGTCTCGCCAAGAGTAAGAGTTGGGAGTCTCCAGTGAATGGAGTTGAGGGGGAGGAGGGGCCCCGCAAGTGGGTTGATAGGGCTGAGAGTGAGAATGGAGATACTGTAATGGAGGACGGGAAGGAGAGTGTGATTCACCAACCTGAGTCCCAGCCTGTTGTGGCCACTGGGGGTCCAGGTAGATAGTGTTTCTAGGCATCAGGGTGGCACAAAGAAATAGGGATGGGCTGGAAGGGAAGGCTGAGAGGGTCCACACCGAGGTTTGGAGGAGTCTCCAGGGTATGGAGGTAGGGTGGGAGGAGCGGCACCTGTAAGTAGGCTGCTGCAGGGTGGCTGGTGAGACTGGAGATGTAACGGAGGACAAGAAGGGGAGTGAACATTCCCCACCCGAGTCTCAGCTTGCTGTAGCCTCTTGGGGGTCTGATGTAGAGACTGTCCCTAGGTACTAACAGCTGACACAGTGGAATGGGAATGGGCTCTCAGGGAGGGCTGAGAGGGTCCACAGGAAGGAGCAAAGCTGGTTCATACCAAGGCCCGGCGGGCGGAGTCCCCACTGATGGTTTCATGAGTCGGATTCCTTTGGATATATGTAACGTTCCCCTTTCTTCCTTTTTGATTGACAACATTTATGTATTTAGGGTTGGAAAGGACGGATACTACCGTCCAATTTGGTGAACCAGTGAGGTTTTTAAGGGTTATTTTCAGTAATATGGGTAGGGGTTACTTAAACAGGAGCAGAAACAAGTCAAAGACAGCTGCATCACCAAGGCCCTCCTTCAGAGACCATGTAATTTCTGTTAGCATCTGCTCTTAACATTGCATACAATAGCTAAGGTAGATTTTTCTAAGATTTAATTATGCTAAGGAGTTTTCAGGTAATACCTCATTTAATCCTCTGTGATTTCTTTTTTTATGTGTGATTTCTTAATTAGGATTAATTCCTAGATGAGGAATTACTTGGTCAAAAGCCACAAACTATTTTATTTTTGAGACAGAGTCATGCCATATAGTCCAAACTGACCTTGGAGTCACGATCCCCATGTGTTAGTGTGTTAGCCTTCCAAGTTCTGAGATCACAGGCAATGCCGCCACACCGGCTTCCCACAGACATTTGAAAGTGCGTATATGTATCAGTTGGCTCACAGCAAGTTCTTAACGAATTCATTAGCTCCTAGATGTTTGAGAACTGTATGTTTGCCCAACTTGGCAGTTTCTATTTACAGAATTTTTGCTAATGTAATACATGTTTGTTATTTTAATTTGTATTTCTTTGATTATTAATCAAGGTCAGCATTTTAACAAATATACTGATCATTAAATATGTTTGTGCTTCCTGTCCTATAAATAGGTAACATAGTTAGCAGGGTCATGCGGGAGTATTTCTGTAAATGCTGGCACTTGTGTTTAGATACCATATCTTCCAGATGATAGAGTTGCTTGTGTTAGTTTCTTTAAAATATGAGTAGCTTAAATATTGTTGTCAGGAGTGGAAAATTGTTTAATTACTCTCTCTTAATTAGAACTAGCAGGTGGTAATGTAAAAATGTTCTCTTGTGGGAGGTAGCATGGTTCAGTGGAAAAAAAAAGCTGGCCTTGGCACAAGGCTTCTCTATTTAAATCCCAGTTCTGTCGCTTGAGCAAACGACTTAACCTTCTCAGCCTTACTTCCCTGTGCAGAGATAGGGCTAATGAAACCCACAGCTCAGGGTTTTCATGAGACTAAATGAAGACACTATTTGAAAGCAATTATATGCTTGATAAATATTCTTCTGTGGCTTTCATAAGACTTTAAAACAATAAGATTTATAGGTTCGTATTTATAAAATAAAACACATTCATGAATAGAAGATACAGAAAATAGAGAAGAGTGAAAATTTTACCCATGACTTTTTATCTGAAACAGCCACACTTATGGATTTTAGTTTTAGTGATTTCTTTACATTTATTTATTTATTGATTGTGTGTGTGTGTGTGTGTGTGTGTGTGTGCGCGCGCGCGTGTCACATGCTGGAAGGAAAGAATGACTCTCACAAGTTGTCCTCTGACCTGCGCATTCATGATGTGGCATGTGTGTACCCTCACACATGTGTGTATGCCTACACACAATAAATGAATGTAAAAGAGATGGAAATTTGCCTTTGGTTTTTGGTTTATAATCCTTAACGAATTAAGGGAGTTTTATTTCTAGATTACTCTTATTTAAGAAAAATGAATTGATATTGGATATTGAAAAATATATTCTAAACACCCATTGAGATGATTATATTGTTTTTCTTTCCAACTATATTAGGCTATGTTAGATTATATCAGGCACTGGCAAACTATGGCCTGTGAACAAGCTAAAGATTTTTTGATATATATGATAAATTGCAAACAAGTAAACATAAAACAAAAGAAAAAGTAATAAAGCCTGTACATGGCACAGTCACACATGGAGTGGTATCTCAGTCCTTTCTTTGGCTG